TGCTGTACGTGTAGCAAACAGTCATTTTGCAAGACCATGAAGTGTGAATGCCGTGCATCCGGAGGAAGCTGCTCCGGCTCCTGTGGTTGCTCCTCCAATAAATGCAGTAATAGGGAAGGTGAGAGCAAAGAGGACTGTATACTTCCTAATGAAGTAGAGCACGATCGAGATCTTGCCACCCAAGGTGCAACATTACTTCAGAGTGCATTAACTGAAAGGCCTGCTGAGCAACATGAAGTAAATGGTGCCAAAAGAAAGCCTTTGGCTGATATTGGGAATACCGCTGTATGTTCTGTCACTACAATATCTTTGTGCTATATCCTATCTAGATACTTCTGTATTGTTATTTTACTATGTTTGTGAACTTGTTGCAGGGAAAATCTAATGCACCAAGGCCCATCCAAAGGAAAAAATGGCGGAAATCCACTATTCAGCTTGTTCCAGCAGCCCCAACATCAGTACAAGGTGAGCATGTAGATCTACCGGAAAAGGTAGAGAGCTGTGCAGCTGACAATGTAGCAGCAAGTAAGAAGGCAGAGAGCAGTACAACCGAAGCAAATATCCCTTTAAAGTTGCCAAGAGCCATGCGATCTGCTTCCTCGAACAGCAACCTTTTGAGAGTCAGGAACTCTGAACATGGAGAAGAACCTGTTGTACACAAGGACTCTGGTGAACCTGCTCGGAGAAGCCCTCTACGGAGACCAAAGAAATCTGAGGAAAAAGAAAATTTCGGCCTCTAATGTAGTACGTGCTGATTTCCTAATTTAATGTAGGCAACCTGTAGATCATTTGGAATTTGATTCCGTCGCAAGCTTACTTTATGGGGAAAAGTTTGGAAGAGGATCAATCGATCCTCAAATGATTGGTATTCTTTTATTGTTTATTCAATCAATGAGGCACCTATTACGAATGGATTTAAAAGAAGAAAATGTACTAGTGTTTCTTGTATTACATTGTTTGTTGTTTCTGGAAGGAGCACACTTGATGTTTTTGTGAGCTCATTGTTGAGAGACTATTTTAAGGCACAAAATGAAGAGGTCTCTATTTGTTCGAATTTGACACAGAAATTTGAGTTTCCAGTTTTCGCAGATAGACCTGATGAGCTTAGGGTGGTATCATTATTATCAGCACTTCAGCACAAAAAATTAAACAGGCAGAAAACGAGTATGAAGAGCTTTGTATTATTAATGTGAATGTATTCCAGAAAATAATAAAAGTTCTTATTCTGTTGGTAAGTAATGTTAGCCAACCCTCAACTTTCACAACTTAACTCTTAAAATTCTATTCAAAATTAAATGTAAATTGGCTTTGACATTAGCTCGAACAAGTTATTAAGAACAAAAGAAAATCCAAATGTTCTTCTTGCACATTCAGATTTTTTGTACCAATTCGTGAAAGAAAAAAATTACTTAATTATTTAGTCATTTTATTTAATTTAAATATTGTAACAAATGTAACACTTAATTAAGTTTGTGCAGTAATATTAAACTGTTATATTTATTTATTTTATATATACAAATATACTGTTTACTTTTGAGTTTTGAGACTATTCACACAATGCACTATAACATCAAATTGTTTTTTTTTTTTTGGAAACCTCATATTGTGATTTTTATGCAATTGAAATTGGATAATATAATCACTTTATACCTTACAATATCAACTTTTATAAATTTACCTTGATTTAATAAAACATTTAAAGATTATTTGAATATCACTTTGAAAGTGTATTTTTCAACCTTTCCCGTGTTGTTATATTAAAGAAACGAAAAAAGTAAAATTATTACAATGCCAATAAACTAAGCAATTATTGTGTAGAACTGTAGAAGTCATGATCATTTCATAGGTACAACGATAGAAGTAGTATTTGAAAGTACGAAATCGGCACATTATTAAAGCAAAGAAAAGCTAGCATTCTAGCAACATGTAATTTGTTTTGGACATTTGAAGTGGTATTGACAGAAATAGATAAGAGCATCGTTGATTGATTGATATCATCCATGTTCTTGAATCTGTAAAGGAGCAGTAAGACAGAGATATCAATAATACTACTTATATAGTTGGGGAATGAATAAAATGGTAACGAAGTAAAGTAAATGAAAGTTTTATACAGAGAATAGAAATAAAGAAAGCAATAGTATGACCTGAAAATGAAGGCCATCAGATGAGAAGAGCATGTTCAATGTGTGAGATTTTATGCCATTCAGGTCCACCAAATTTGGCACATCTTTCTACCAAAATTTGGCATAACATGACCTGTTTTGAAGAACAATGTCCTCAGAGATGACAGGTTGCCTATCCACTCTGGAAGTTGTTCCAACTCATCAAATCTCTCAATTGTCAGAGATTGAAGGGTTGGAGAGCAGGGTTATATTTGATGATATCCAAGGGTTGACTGCCACCAAAATCGACAAGTTTCAGATACTTTAGAGATTGAAACTGTAAACAAGGTACCCTTTCCAATTTTGTAGAGTTTCAAGGTACCCTTTCCAATATTGGCAGCGATGGTGGCATCCATGTGATCAGCCTTCTAAATCCGAGAATGTGAAGCTCGCTTGGAGACTGAAATGACACCTTTTCATCTGCACTCCCATTCACATTATAAAACGCCTCCCCTATACACTCTACATCGTTGAAACCTTCCAGCTGCAAGATCCTCAGAAATGGTAGTTGCCCAAGATAATAATAATTTTAATCGGTATAAATTAGTAATTTTAAAGAACAAAGATAATAGACAATTAGTATACTAATAATTTTAACACAGTAAAAAAAAATTACTCCTATAATTTTAACCCCTAAAAATATTTGTTTATATATTTTTTTCCTTTATTAATTTTTATTTTATTTTTTATTTTTAATTATTATTTTGTTTTTAATTTTTTTTTTTTAAATTTTTTTTATGTCCCAAAACTGTTGGATCTATATCTAATATTTCTATTCTTAATTTTTACATATATAATTAATTTTACTATAATACACCAAATTGTAGTATAAAATTTTCTCATATTACACACTTGTACTACTGCCCTTCATTCCCACAAAAATTGGAAAACGAGCACGATCTTCTCTTCTTAACGTTGCCAAGCCGGTCAGAGTTTTAATTTTTAAACCTATGAGTATTTAACTAATAATAATTAGTCTTTTCTAATTCATTTGCTTAATTAATGACACAGTCCCCTCAAATTAACAAAAAAACATTACTGACACAATTAGCAAGTTGCTCTGTTTTTGAATGTGGCTTTTGACAAAATGCCTCCACCCACCCTCACTTGGAAAAACTACGTACGAGTAGTGTAGTTACTGTAGTACAGTACAGTAATTCACTAATTCGTATAAAGACCTTAATGTTGTTTTATTGTACTTTTAAATGGGGAATTCTATGTTCCTCATTGTGAGAAACATAAGCGTTTCTCATAATGGCATTTCGGAAATTAAAGTGATGATTTTCACTTCCTGAGTTGCTGAGTCGGATTCGCCTATGTGTCAATTTGCTGAGTGGTGCTGAGTGGAGACATCCTTGTGTTAATCTGTTTGAGGGATGGCGTTACCTTGTTGAGGTTTGGCGGGAAAATATTCACACATCTTTGAGTTGAACAACTTCCAGACCCAGTTGAAAAAAACGCACATCTTCGAATTAGCAGGTAGTTTTCTGTTCTCTTTCTTTGTCGCTTCTTCCAGTCGTGAGTTTTGTTCTGTTCTAGAGTTTTGATTTGTTCTTCTCTTAATGCGACAACATTTCGTGAAATTGAATTCATAATTGCGACCGAAATCAGAATAATTTTGAAAGTAATGGGATTATGAGGTTGAATGCCTCTGTTAAAATGGGTTTGGGTTTGAGGTAATGGCCGAATGATTTTGTTTAAAATGCAATTTATACTTTTTGAAAATGTGTTGTCTTCGTATGCTGTGAAACAAATCCCTCTGTTGATTTGTGTAAATTTTTGAAAATTGGTTGTATTACTTTGTTGGTTGTTCAATTGGTTGGTTGTATTTATGTGTTGGGTTGAATTTGTGCTGTGAAAACGTGTTGGTTGGTTGATTAACAGAGCTATGACTAGTTTAATTTGTATTATAATTATGTTGGTGTTCTGTATTAATTTGTATCGTAATTATGTTGGTTTTCAGTATTTGAAGGGTGAATTGTTTTTGATGGAGAATTGAAGACTGATATTATGGAAATGGAAACTGAAGGCGTTATAGGGGGCAGTGAGGTTGGTGTTCGTGATTGTGGCAGTGGAGTTAAGTTTAGGAGTAATGTTGATATGGAGGAGGGTAATGATATGGAGGGTATAGAAGACATAGTTGTGTTGAGGGTGTTGGTGTAGGTGCAGTTGACATGAATGTTAGGTATTTATCCCCCGTGAAAACAATTCATACGACTCACACTGTGGTTGGTAGCAACGAAATGGTTGTAATTGTTGAGGAGCCTAAGGAAGGGATGGTTTTCCGATCTTGGCAAGTAGGGCTGTACACCGATCCAAAACCGGACCGGACCTGTTGGGACCGGGACCTAAAATAGTGAATTTTCAGGATCGGAGACCAGACCTGATTCAACACGTCCGGTTTCGGGTCAGACCTGAAAAATCAGGTCCGGTCCAGGTTTGGACCTGAAAAGACCTGTTTTTAATTTTAACCAAATTTAAAATAAACCAAATATCAAGGAAAAAAAATCCCAAGTAAAAAAAAAAAAACCAATAAATATTAACATTTTAGCCCAAACGAATTCATTGCTCAAAACCCTCTTCTTTTCGATACTTATTTTGATCGAATTCGACCTAATCGGACTCTGTTTTCCAGCGTAAATCAACCTCTGTTGAACAGGAGGAATGCCTTCTTTCTCCTCAACACGCTCCTTAACCCGATCAATTGTATCATTGGGCTCGATATCAATGGATGACATTTAAAGGGAGCCACCTTAAAATCATTGCACTAGTAGAAAAATTGAATTCCGCACCATACTTTTCGCACCGGTTCTTGAAAACCGGTGGGAAAAGAAATGGGCGGGATTGGGGAAAATACTTTTCGCACCGGTTTGAACCAAATCGGTGGGAAAAAATGAGTTTTTCGCATCGGTTCGGTTCGAACCGGTGCGAATGCTCTTAAAAAAAACCGAAATATCTTCTTTTTTTCTCCTTCCTCGAAATCTCCTCCTCTCTCACCTACCTTAGCTTCTCTCTCCTCCTTCATTCTTCTTCATCTTCTATGAGGGCTGCGATTTTGAGCCGTTTTTGAGCAGCCGCGACTTTCCCAGTCACCGTCATCCTCACCGGAGCCGCTTCGAGGTTCTCATGACCCACTGTCACCCTCATGCTTCACCTGCTCTCCACGACTCCACCACTATCGTCACTCTTCGCCGTCGTATTCTTCTCCGCTCCTTCAAATCTTCAACAACAAAAACGGCACCTATGAGTTCCTTTCTTTTTTTTTTCATTTTTTAGTTTTTGTTTTTGTAATTTTTTTTTAATTTTTTTTTTAAAAACGAACCAATCAGAAAGTGACAGTGGCAAGTGGTGGGGTCCACTAACGGTCAACTAACGGCTGTCAGTCATTAATGACACTCGGTGAATTTTGTTAAAACTTGGTGGCATTTGGTGAATTTTGAAAAGCCGGATGGCGTTTGGTGAATTTCGTAATTGCTCAGTGGCATTTGGTGAAATAGCCGTTTAATAAATATCCTATAACTCCTTTATATTTTGATGGTGTGGCTAGTCGCAGACAGCGTTTTACACCTTCAATTTTATTTTTTTAAAAAAAATTCTGGGTATAAAACGCTTGGTTTGGGAAATACTCTTGCCACGAGTCTAGTTTGCGAATTAATTTGCCAATTAGACTTAGTTTGGGAAAAAGTCCATTTATTGTATAGTTGGTAAGAAAAGTTTAGGAAATTTTATTGTGAGAAAAAAGTAGATGAGATAAAGAAATTATGAATAACAATAGTACAGTACGAGAATTAAAAGTATTGACTTGAAAAGGCAATATTTTTGAAATTGAGGCTTTGGCCAAGGCAGCATTTACCACTTGATCATGATTTTTTGAATGTGTGAGATTTTATGCCATTCAGGTCCAACGTCTTTGCCGCATCCTCTTTTCAAAAGTGGGCAGCGAAAAATATAAAGCCATTCTAACTCGGTGAGGCATAACATGACCTGTTTTGAAGGTAGATATTTCAACTTGTTGCAATTATCTAAACACAATGTCCTCAGAGATGACAGGTTGCCTATCCACTCTGGAAGTTGTTCCAACTCATCAAATCTCTCAATTACCAGAGATTGAAGGGTTGAAGGGAGGAGTTGCTGAGACAAAGACTTGACTTTTGCGAAATAACTCAATGTTAGTCCTCTTAAGGATTGGGGAAATGTAAGGTTGAAGTCCCATTCTTCTCTACTATACCCACCAATTTGTAATCTCTCGAGGCGATGAAGATTTGGGATCCACTGCAGGCAACAAGCCATCAACTCCCCTGAATATACCAATCTCAAATTTTCAAGTTTTTGCAATCTGCCCAAATCTGGGATCGGACCCTTTATCAATGGGCAGTCCTTTATTATTATGGACACCAAAGGTGTGGACTCCTCCAGACTTTTTGGCATCCTTTCTAACCCTTCACAATCCGATACATTTAAATTACATAGAGAAAAGAGGCCATCTGGAATACAAGCCAGGGATCGACAATTACTTATCGTTAAATCCTTAAGAGACGTCAGCCCACTTGGTATACACTTCAACTTCTCACAATCAAATACTTTCAATTCCTCCAACTTTGTACAGTTTGACAGCTCTTGAGGTAGGGTCATCATTTTTTCCATTTTCCACGCATGGAGCGATTGGAGAGCAGGGCTATATTTGATGATATCCAACGGTTGAGTGCCATCAACATTCCTAAGCGTCAGACACTTAAGAGATTGAAACTGTAAACAAGTTATCCTTTTCAGTTTTGGGCAATCTTCTATATTAAGTTTTTCAATTTTAGGAAATAATATTTCCACTTGTATCGGCGGCGAGGGTGGCATCCATGTGATCAGCCTTTCAAAAGAAAGAATGTGAAGCTCGCTTAGAGATTGAAATAATACCTTTTCACCTGCAGTCCCACTCACATCATAAAACGCCTCCCCTATACATTCTACATCGTTGAAACCTTCCAGCCGCAATATCCTCAGAAATGGTAGTTGCCCAAGTGTGGGAAGCTGTTGGCTTTTCCTGCAATCTGTTAGCGTCACCTCTTTCAGATTCGTAAGTGGTGTCGAATGACCTCCGTGTTTTACAACCATTGCCATCATCCACGAAGGAAAGCTCACACCCATGAATCCATCTACAGATAATGATTGTAAGTTAGGGTGAGGTTCGAGGCTTTCCAAAACATCCTCATCATTAATGACTTGATGAGAGGCTTCTCTATATGGATTCCACCCCAAATGAAGTGTCACAATCTTGTCCTTCCTCCCAAGCCCAGCTTGTCTTGCTGCTTCTTTGTTTTTCACATGTTCAAGACCTTTGATATTCACCTGACCCTTAACTTGATCTAAAGGTCCTAATTCATCAATGCTCCATCCTTCACCATCACGCAACTCAAGGGGAGGTAAAGTCTGAAGGTTAGTTAGTTGTCGTAGTCCTCCTGATGCCGACAAGAACCTACTTGCCTCAATGTGTCGTAAGTTTTCAAGCCTATACAATCCTCTGGGCAAGTACATCAGACCAGAACCCATGATTCTCAGTGTTTGTAGTTGATAAAATTTGCAGATTGACTCTGGTAGTTTACAAATGTTACTATGAGATAGGTCAAGATATCTTAGATGAACAAACTGCCCAATAATATATGGAACCTTTGATAGCCGAGTGTCAAATATGATTAATGTTCGTATGTATCGTGCACCGCCTAAGGTGGAGTTGATCCAAACATTATCCCGGAAACTTATCGTTCTTAGTTTTCTCGTCAACAACCTACGAGTAGAAGTTTCAGAAGGTGTTTCGTTCTTTGATAAATCGAAAACCAAATGTCGAACATGGGAGACATCATCTTCCAGTTTGATTCTATCCTTCCATACCAACAAATACTTCTTAGAAACATAGGCTGCAAGATCATGCACTAAATCATGCATCTTGTACACTATTCGACCATAAGAATTTTTCACCTCTTCTAAGAAGGAATAATTCAGCAATATATTAAAATAATTCTCACCAATCATTTCCATTGTCAGAGTGGAGCTGCTGGTTGCAAATTCACCAGGTAGAAATCCTTGTGCCAACCACAGGGTAATTAATTGATGCTTCTCCATTTCATAATCCTTAGGAAAGATTGCGCAGTACGCAAAGCATTGCTTTACATAAACATGGTTCAAATGGTTGTAGCTCAACATTAATGATGGCAGGATATCGATTATATCTCCTGGTTGGCAGTTCCATAGTTCACTATTCTCTATCAATTCCCATTCATATGGGTGCTTCTTTGACTGCAATGTGCCACCTATTGCTTTTATGGCCAAAGGAACACCCTTACACTTGTTAACAATTCTTCTCCCAACATTATTGAAAGAAGAATCATATGGACGTGTCTCACTAAAAACTCTCTGTTGTAACAGAGCCCATCCTTCGTCTTCAGATAAACCTGGCAATTTATGCTGGTAGAAGGCACGTGCTTTCTCTGCAACATCAATGCTACGGGTGGTAATCAAAATTACGCATCCGCGTAGATCGCCAATGCTCAGCAATGCATTTCTGAAGGAATCCCATGATTCTTGATTGTTTTCCCAAACATCATCAAGCACCAGAAAGAATTTCTTCCCTTTTAATTGCTGTTCAAGATTATTTGTTAGTGCGCCTGTGTTTGTCAAGTCACATTTGGATGATGTAAGATGTTCAACCATCTCATTCAAAAGTCTGTCAACTTTGAAATCCTCGGACACACAAATCCAAATTTTCTTGTCAAAATGGCCATCGTGTTCATAGAGCCTCCGAGCTATAGTTGTCTTGCCAACTCCTGTTTACATAAGATATAATTTGTAAGACCCTCCAATGAAGCAATTTGATAATAACTAATTAAGTACAGATGTTGAGAATGCTACAGGTAAAGGGACTCATGACTTATTATTATCAAAAGAGGAATCGATGTCAAAGTTTGGTTAAACATAGCACTCAATTCAAATTCTAATAATTTGAGAGGAAATGTTGAACCTAAAAAGAGTGTATGTGTAATTTGATTAAAAAGGGGTGATTATTTCTTGGGGAACACCAGGACAATATCCATTTGAAATTGTTAAAGAATAAGTTCCGAGTGATTTTATTAGTTACTTTAGCACCCAATAACTATAACAATATCTCAGGTCGATATCCAGACCATTTGATCTTGCTAACAATATCAAGTCGGTAGAAAATTTAAGGTTTAAACACTATCATGATTCATGAAAGGCTTAAGAACAAATGACAATGAAAAAAATATATACCTCCAATTCCAACAATGGCAACAGTGGAAAGACGATCAACATCCTTGCCAATGATTTGCAGTAACTTCTCCTCATCAGACTTCCTCCCAATGAACTCTGAACCTCTCACGACAGCATACTTCCGATTTTGATGCAATGATTCATTATCAACATAGTAGCCAACATTAGTCGATGCTACTGCTTCTCTGGCTAGCTGCCCGCCTGCCCGAGCTGTATACCATTCTTCTTAGCCTCCTTGTACAACTCATCAAACTTGGAAAGGGTCTCACGAACCCGATGACTCATCCGAACACGGAAGACAGCAGGGTTAGTAACAAGACTAAAATAGTTGCTACACTTTTTCTTGAACGATGGATGGTTGTTCTTCAGCTCGATTTTCCTACGAAGTAACTCGTATTCATAGTCATCCATGAGTTCATCAGCAGAGTAGGCAAGATCAGTGAATTTTTTGGGCCAAAGATTCACAAATTTGCTCTTCTCTATATACTTGGCACTTCCCAAATCCTCCAGTAATGCCTGTATGTCAGATAATTTGTCTTGGAGCTTTACAAGTTGATCTTGGAAACCACAAGCAAGTTTTATCTCATCCAACACCCGAGCAGTCACCAACTTTGCCGCGACTTTGGCAGCCTCTACCGCTACTCCTGTTGCTATTGCATCCGCCATCGGTTGATTGATCAAGCAGCTGTATAGAGAGAGTATAAGGGTTGTTTGTAGATTGGAATAAGCGAGGGATAGAGGCTAGTAGTGCAGCTTTAGTTATGATGAGTTTGAAGCATTGTATTATTCATTTATTCTGTAACTTTTTTATTATATTATTGTGTGTTCGGGAAAAAAGTACATTGTAGTTGTTGAGAAATTTTTATATACATCTGCATCTAACAGTATTTTTAATTCAATCATTACAATGATTATCTCTAATTTAATCATCTAATGAAAAATATCTCCTTTAATATACTTTGTATCCGAATATATATAAAAAATTTCAATAGTTTGTAATGAGTACTAAGTTCCACTAGGTTTCTAAAAAAAAAAAAAAGTAATACTAAGTTTCACCACATGGCACATCTTCTTTTGTTGTGTTGTAAAGTTGGAAAAAGAGAAAAGAGCAACATATTAAATTGAGGAATGATTAGTATAACAATAATTAGTGTTCTTTATTTCATTTAATTACTGACACAATTGGATACCTTACTCCGTTAATTACGGCTTTTCTCTTTTAGTGTATGACTTTTGACAAAATGCCTCCCACTCCAACTGGAATAAACAAAACTCCTTAATGATTAATGTTATACGGAGTATGTAGCATTTGGATAGCAATGCTCAAGCTACTATGACAGCATCCATTATTAGTTGACAGTTATATACGCTACTCTTAATTTTACTGGCTACTCAACAGCTAAATGCTATCTGTTATCGCTAATCTACTGTATAATGCCTAGTGTCTAATTTGTTCGTTCCGTGGAATCAGAACGAAAAACATTTGAGTTATCCCTCACACGAGTCACACTAAAAAATAATATTTAACTTTGTTCTTAACATGTACAACTGTATAAGTACCCCAAATCAACAAATATTTACAAAAATAAAACTGAATGATAGACCCAAGATTAGGATCGAAAAACAACACAAATTTGTAAAAGAATTAAAATATTAAACCTGTCCAAAAATGAGCACATCATAGAAAAATGAAAATGGTAGAAATGATCTTGATTGTAGAGAACTGTTTCTGGTGTATTTGCATTGCAGACCCATTGTCCTTAAACAAAAATCAAAAATAAAAAATATACAATTGAGGTGAAATACAGATTTAAAAATACAGTTGAGTATAGACTACTGATCAATTAAAATACAACATGCAATACAAAATCAACCATTAAAAATCAAATTGGAATTCAACTACTTACTAATTGAAAATAAAAAATTAAAAATTAAAACAATTGATAACCTTCGAAGAAACAAAAGATGCACTTGATGTCTTGATATGTAGCCTCTAGGAATTTACCCCAAAAAAATAAAAGAACAATCCAAATGAAATTAGACTAAGAAAAAAAATTGTAATTAAGTTGCAGGTGTTTAAATTGGAAAGGCTCTCGTCAAAAAAAAGTTGGAAAAAGGAAGAAGATTAAACATTTTTTTTGACGTGTGACGATTGAAGAGAAAGTTAATTTGACAATGAAGTGCTATGTTGCCAATTTAAAAATTTACCGTAGACACATCAAGAATTCAAGATACTCGTAATTTTTTTTTATTTTTTATTTTTTAAAAAAAAAAAAAAAAAAAAAATTCTGTATGACAATAGACTGTCACAAACATTTAAGCAGTTAAGTTAATTTGTTAAAATATTTTTACTATTTTATTGGTGACGGAGAGGGGTAGAATATGATCCATAATTAATAGAAAACTAGTCTTCTGGCTGGTGTAATGCACGGGATGTTTATAAGTGTACAATGAAATGGTGAAAATTGAATGTAATTGTAGAAGATAATAAGTTGGGGGGAAAGTGAATCAAATAACATTCATACATGTACTCCGTATTAAATTAAATCTAGTGCTTTTTTTTTAAATATAAGAAAGGGGATTAATTAATGAAAAGGTGAGGTGACATGTGACATTAGTGAAAAATTAAGTTTATATATATATATATATATATATATATATATATATATATATATATATATATATATATATATATATATGGTATGATGGTTTGTGTTTTTAAATACTAAATATAGATGGTTGTATAATTTATTTAAAAGTAAGTAATATGAAAGGAAAGACATAATATAATAAAATACTACCTCTATTTATTTTTAGTTGTAACAAATTTTTATGTCTTACAAATAATACCCTTTTATTGCAATTAAAAATAAACTCAAGATAATAATTATGCTTTAAAAATGTCATAAATGTTACAAATGCTTTTGATCAAAAACTCAAAATACCGATTTTTTTATTCAACCTTGTCACAGTCGATTTGTTTTTGGACTGGTACTCATTCTTAAATGAGACGTTTTACTTGTAGATAAATTGGATATCGAAATCATTTAGAATATAGATAGAGTTATCCTTTTATAGAGGATAAGCTGTCAATAAAAATACATCATATATATTTTATTACAAGTAAAGCGTCAAATTTATCTAAATAGTTACAAAGATAATAATTGTAAAAAAAAAAAAAAAAAATCAAATTGCCCAAGAGAAGCTCACTGTAATCTTATGGCAGTCCCTAAAAATTAGGCGATATGTCCTCCCTTCCAAGTTTATGGTAAAATCCACATGCACAAAAATTTTGTGCATTTTCTTTTGATACGTTGAAATTTTCTTCTTTTAAGTATTTTGACATAGAAAATTGACAAAATTATTCTTTGTACATAATTGTCATTGATTCATAAAAACATCGAGATATAAAAAAAGCTTAAACAAAGAGAAGCAACAAAGGAAGAAAAAGATGCTGCATAGGGCAGCAACAAGTGCATATTCGTGGTGGTGGGCTAGCCATATTCGAACCAAACAGTCAAAATGGCTAGAGCAGAACCTACAAGGCTAGTTTCTTTTGCTTTATTTTTTTATCTCTTTCAAATGGCCATATTTGATTTCGGTGTAAATTTGATCATAAATTTGTCAAAATTGTATTGAATAATAATGTGAAAACGACATCAATAGATTTGTCGTAATTAATGCTCTCTGTATATTAGTGGGATTTTATGTTATTGTTGATAAAGTTTTACCACAAAAGTTTTATTGTGACATAGTTTGAAATTGTTTACGGTTAATCATCAATAAAGTTGATTAATTTAATTTATTATCAACCAGAATTGTTTATTTTATACTCCCTCCGTCCCTTAATGATCGCCTCTTATGGACAATTTTCACGGGAATTAATAAACATAAATAAATAGTAAAAGTATATTGAAAATGTAAATTTACATGGGGTCTGCAAAAAAGTATAGAGATAAAGTAATAAAAGTACATGAAAAAAAAATTACATGAGAAAGCTAAATTTACAAAAATATTGTTGCAAATTAGAGGTAAAAAAAATTGATATTAATAGTTTTTGAAAAAAGCAAATGGGGTGAATAGTTTAGAACTACAATTTGGTCAAAAGAGACTATCATTAGGGGACGGTGGAACTAACTTAATATTCTTTCTTTTGCTTATCATTAAGTTATTTTGAATTGATTCAGAATTAAAGCGGATTAAAAGGTAAAATTATAAGATATTATTGTTTATGGGGTAGTAATAATAGTAAAATTAATAAGATATTATTGTTTATGGGGTAGTAAATGGTAAAACTAATACTAGATTTTTTGGAATTTTATTTTTCATCGCACGGAATATATGTTATCAAGTCTTTCATTGTGCACCCATTTCATCCTATTCCATAATTTGATACAACCTAGGTATCAATTCAACCTATTCCATAATTCAATACAACCTAGCCACCTAGGTTATTCATTTATGCATTCCTCCAGTCCAGTTCTTTATTTTTTCTTTTTGGTTATGAACATTAATTTAGTTTTTACTTGTACACATGGAAATGCACATTTAAAATTTACAAATATAGAATAGGGAGGAAAATGTACTGACAAGTGACAACTTTGTTGTTTCAGATATGGAGGAGAAAGTACAGTTCATGTTGAAGATCATAGAGCAAGAGGGAGACTCATTTGCCAAAAGGGCCGAAATGTACTACAAAAAGAGGCCAGAGCTCGTAAGTTCTGTAGAAGAGTCATATAGAGCATATAGAGCTTTAGCAGAGAGGTTTGATCATTTATCAAAGGATCTACAATCTGCTAACAGAACCATTGCCACTGCTTTCCCGGAACAAGTCCAATTATCTATGGAGAGCGACGATGAAGACAATTTAGCAGGCTCTACTTCTACTTCTCCTTCCCCTGATAGCTTATCGATGAGAAACTCATCCCCTAAAAATTTGCCAAAACCTCCAAAACTTCCCACTCCTAGGACGGCTAATGCCAAAGCACAAGCTATGTTGGCCTCAAGGAGAGAGCAGCTCAGAAAAAATCTCACTACTTCAGGCACTGTATTGACTGCCAATTCAGGGCTAAGCAAGGAAGAAGCATTCAAAGAAATCGACACATATGAAAAAGAGATTTTGATCATGCAAACAGAGAAGGAATTTATGAAGAGCTCGTACGAGAATGCACTGGCAAAGTTCTTAGAGCTTGAGAGTAAGATCACTGATTCACAAACCAAAATTGGCAATTTGCAGGATGAGTTTGGGTTTGGCGCGGTCATTGAAGACTATGAGGCACGTAATCTGATGGAAGGATCTGCGCTAAGGTCATGCGCCAAGGCCTTAGCCAAGTTGCAAGAGGAACAAGAAAAGTCAATATATGAGGTGAAGGATGAGTACAACAGAATCAAAGAAGCCCATGACAGGATTGAAGCTCTAAAAAAACACTGTGGACAGAATGAAGAGAGCTCCAAAGAAGGTTCGATGATGGGATCAAGCTTCAATGAAACAATTGTTAGTATTGAAATAGAGGATGGAATAGAAAATGTGGATGCACTACGGGAGAATATAAGGGCGCAATTGAAGCTGAATTCTAGCACAGCTTTCACTGAGCCAGAGATGGCTGAGAAGATTGATAATCTAGTAGACAAAGTAGTCAGTTTGGAGGCTACAGTTTGTTCACAAAACGCCCTGGTGAAGAGATTAAGACAAGAGATAGATAGACTTTTGGGGCATATTAAGAGCTTAGAAGAGCAAAAACATCAACTGCAAGAAGATTCTGTAATGAGAAATAGGTTGAGAGAATTGGAAGAAGAGCTTGTCAAAGTTAAAAGCTATAACAAAGTAGTTGCAGATAAAAATAGCAGCATTGATGCAGAAATTACAGGAGCTAGTTTCAAACTTGATCATCTTCAGGAGAAATTGAACGATGTAAAGCCATATGAAGGGGTTGAGTACTCCAATGAAGGAAAATCTGAACAAGAAGCAGAAGAAGAACAAAAGGAGGAGATCAGAGAAAACAATTCTGAGAAGGAGAGCTATAGTAGTGATACTGAGCCACAAAAAGAGATGAATGAGGTAGAAGAAGAGGAAGAGAAGCAAGACATATCAAGGACCGCGGAAAGTACCGTTGAAACTGAAATACAAATAGGCGAAGAAGATGGACTTAATTGGAGGCAACTCTACATGAACAATATTGAGGAAAGAGAGAGGATTTTGGTAGAAGAATACAGCATAATCCTCAGGGACTACAAAGACATAAAGATTAAGCTTAGTGAAATGGAGAAAAAGCACAGAGACAATATTTTTGAAATGGCAAGTCATGTGAGGGAATTAAGAAATACAGTTGCAGCTAAGGATGAGGAAATTCAAATGCTACGAAATAAGCTTAGCGCTCTTCAAGGAAACGGAGATGGAAATACGGATTTATGGCTGGAAGAACATAGTGGGATGAAACAGGAAGATCAGAGTGAAAACAAGGAGTTTCATGATTTGGGACCTTCCTCCCATAGCACTGAACCAGAGAGGAAGCCACTTTTCTATCATTTGTATGGAGAAGGTGTTGTTATCAATGAAACAGTTGAAGATAACGAAAATGAATATGAGAACATAGCTTCACCTAGTAAAGAATTAGTAAAAAGAGAGAACATAAACCTTGTTACTAAGACAAGGTCAGTTTCAAGAACTGAAGGCAGGCTTCGTTCAGAGCTTGATAATTTACTAGAGGCAAACCTTGATTTTTGGTTAAGGTTCAGCACCGCGTTTCACCAGATTCAAAAGTTCCAGACCTCGATCACAGACCTGCAAGCAGAGTTAGCAAAGTTAAAGCAAACTCAGGAAAACGGAGTATGTGATAGGGCCCAACATCAAGCAAAATCAGATGCTAGACCTCTATACAAACATTTGAGAGAGATACAGACCGAACTTACTTTATGGTTAGAACATAGTGGAGTATTTCAGGAGGAACTACGAAGTAGATTCTCCTCATTGAACAGCATTCAAAATGAGATCACAAAACTATGGAAAACCAATTCCAAAGAAGAGAACGGCTTAAGTGATTATCAATCAGCCAAGTTCCAAGGAGAGATTCTTAATATGAAGCATGAAAACAGCAAGGTTGCTGAAGAACTACAAGCCGGTGTTAACCGTGTCAAAGCACTCAAGTTTGAGATTGGAAAAGCACTGGTGAAGTTAGACAAAGAGTTTCGTCTCTCTGATTCAAAGGGTTGTGTAACAAATCCACCGATCAAGCCAAGAATCCCACTGCACACATTTCTGTTCGGAATGAAGCTTAAAAAGTATAAGAAACCACCAACACAATCAATGTTTGCTTGTGTCACAAACCGATCATTATCTTAACGTTCAACATAGTCCATTGCTAGATAATTTACAATAGAATACTGTGTAATTTCTTCAACATTTACAAATATCGACAAAGGAATTTTATTAATCTTTAAAAATCATCTCTTGTACTGTAATTCAAGCTTTAGATACTCCCCCAAACCTTCATATAGCAAGAAATTATGATTTCATGCTTTAAAAATACAATAAAGCCGCAGGGGGAGGGGGGGGGGAGTTGATTTCTTTACAACCAGAGGATTAGAGGAAAGTAGTGACTATATGATCATACAAAAATGTACTTTCAATGTAATGTTTCAAATAAAAGTATTGAACAGTTGCCAAACAGAACTTGAACCACTATTTATAAACACAGACACAACAATAAGCAGAGAAAAATGGCAGACATTTACATATATAGACCTAACCACAATACTATAAGTTCGTTTGGTTAGATATTTTGACACTAACCGATACTTCCTTTGAAACCTCCATCTTTTCAGCACCCTCATCAACGATCCTGCTTGGTGGAACTTCAGGTGTTCCTTTCACACCTGAGATACCACTTTGAAGATTCTGAACGGCAGAGAGCTTCTCATTATCACTTTTTAGGGCTGAACTTTCAAAGATCTTCTTGCAAGCATCATCTTTAACTTCATTCCTGGCTACATTTGCAGATTGAGAACTGCCAATACTGACCATACATTTACTAAGACCCACATCTGCACCAGTAGATGTTGCCCGGCACTTATCAAGTGATGAGTCTGGCAAACATTGGGGAGGGGAAGCATTATCTTCTTGGACTCTGGTCAATTTAGTATCTGAGCCTTGAACATTTACTGCAGTTGAAGTTCTATTTTCCATCTGCTGGGCAGCAGTAGTTAGCTCCATTCCTACAGCAGATGGGGTTCTTGCTTTCGGAAGCTGAGATACTGCAGCTGGAGGAACAGGGGGCTTTATTGCACCATTACTCTTGGCTTGTTGCCCTGCAACACAGGATGCAGTTCCTGCAGAAGCCGTGAAAGTTGGTGTCGAAGATAACCCAGTGCGTATAAAATGTACATTGGGAGGCAGAGGGCTTGAACACCCCACAGCAGAAGTCTTGATTAAAGAATCACCTCCTCTTATATGCAATGCTTTTTTTGACTGTACAGCCTTGAACATAGATGCAGCAGCTGAGGGACTGACAATTCGGGCCCCTGCAGCTACTGCAGTAGCTTGAATGGAATCAGTACCGACACTTGGTTGACCTACCTTTTTCTGAGGCCGAGCCTTCGGCACAGATGATGTTAAGTCGGTGACTGGCGAGGACTGCGGCTGGGATGATGGAACAGAAGCTCCGGTAATTGGCAAGTCCGTTTTTGAGACACTTATTTTAGGTGAAGTAGTTCCAGCAGGTGCATTGCCAACTACAAAATGATAAAAAGAGAGCAAGCTATCACCAGTCAGAAAATATAATAAAATAAACAAAAGGAAGGCTATGACAGGAAGAGAAGGAGAGGGCGGGGGGGGGGGGGGGGGGGGGGAAGGGGGGGGGGAATGCACAAAGAAAGAGTATCTTTAAGTCTTTTAAAATCATAAGAGGGAGAGCCTGAAAAAAAAAAATAATAATAATAATAGAGGGAGAGGATGGGGGAGGGAGAAAGGGTGGGGGGGTACACAAAGGAAGAGTATCTTTAAGGCTTTTAAAATCATCTTGTTTGAAGCTTAAAGGATGTCCTGCAACTCTGCAAGCATTAATTGTTTCATTTTTCAGCACAAATTATATATTGATCGATGAGGCCTCCATGAAACATAAGACCTTATGCCTAAAAAAAACAGATAAAAAAATTATTAACTTATTAAAAATCTAGGGAGAATTATATTAACACACACAAAGATATTCGATATAGATCCCACTGTGTTTCGCTAGTTGGACCTAGGGGAAAGAATAAAGTATTCATTAGAAAAACACAGCCAAAACCAAGATTATTAAGACAAGTTAACCTAACCTATTATCAATAAGGCCCTTGGACAGAAAATGACGAAAAAATAGATCAAGCATGATTTCCAAAGTTAGAATGAATGGGGAGCCTGCGCTTTCAATCAAATCCCACTAAATTTGATGAATTGCTTCAGTACTTTATGTACCCCATGATGAAAAGCATATGAAACACTTTGAAAAGGCTTCAAAAGTTGTTGATAAAGGAAATGAGACTCAAACAATAACAAAAATGCGAAGGAAAAGGGAAAACCCACTTCCTAAATTAACATGATAACTGAATGCTCCATAAGTCTATAAGGGACTTCAAAAACATTGTCAGATTGTTCAAAGTCTTACATGATTATGGTATTAATATGAATGAACACAAAGTAGGGAATTAGTGATAGTGAAATAGCTACATAAGAAGTTCTCATAAAAAACAGTAGTAGATAATATAACAGCACAAAACTGGAAGTTCCATATACTTGTGGAAAATAAAATGCACAAAAAAATAATGATCATACCAGTGCTACAACCAGTTGATAGCTTGTCCTTGAAAGCCATATCAAGAGCACGACGGGTAGCCAGCTGAGCCTCCGTAGGTTGTGGGCTAGCTATTTTGGTCCCTCCAATATTTAAGATGCCCTGTTTCTTCCTAATAATATTCCACCTCTGCACATGCAAGGCAACTCTGATATACAGCATTTCAAAAAGACAATTGCATTTCTTCCTAGGGAAGAGGTGCAAGACAACAATTTAAAAGCTTGTTTGAAATATTCAAACTAATGTAAACAAATCTAGCAAACTTAGCAATGAAAAACAAAAAAAAAATAAAAAAATCAGCCAAGGTATAAGTTCACCATCCCACCATGAATGTCAAGTTTCAAATACTCTGTGCTTTGCCTCATCCTAACATTTTTGTTCCATACCTATAAGTCTGCCTATGTGCAAAACCACACTTGATGATTGATATTCCTTTGAGATAGAAATCTTCCCAAGATAAGGGCTAAAACATTTTAGAACAAACACAAAATTTTCTTGTCACAAAATTAAAAATCATCATTACTACTGGCAAAGCATGAAACAAAGCATTGTAAAATACATAAATAAATAAAGTAAAAACAGGGTAACGTTAATAAAACCTGAGCTAGCTGAGTAGCGTTTCTATTCCCCTTGAATTCTCCTTTTAAGATAGTCGCCCAACTTCCCTCACCAAATTTTTGAACGGCAGTAATCAGTTCTAGATCTTCCTCCTCCGACCATGGTTTTCTTCGCTTCCGATTGATTGGTAATCCATTTGCATCCAGCCCTTCGCCAAAGTTTCCTGAAGCTTGGGGAAATTCTGAAGAAACATGTGATGAATTAATATTAAGTGCCCTACCCTCCACACTTGAGCTGTTGGGGATACTAGACTGGTTAGCCGATCCAGAAGCAAGCACCTAAGCAGGCAAACTAATCAGCATATAAGACAAGCAATATGGTAATAATCTATGCATCAGACTTAGATATAGAAGCAGCATCACATATATTGCAGCAGAAATTGATGTCGCCATTAGTGACCCAGAACAAATCCATGACTAGTCAATGAAACCTAAAACATCATACTATAATAGTCCATCAATCCACCAATAATTTTCTCCTGGTCAGAGCTGATTAAAAAGAAATTGGTTAAGCACCAAGCCTTTCACTTCTTGTGCTCCTGCCACAGAACAATCAACTATCCTCTGGCTCTTGGTGACAAGTCGCTACAGCCACGGTGCAAAGTGAGTCAGCTTTCTGATTAGCCCCATATTTGAGCAATCTCTTTCAGGTGCAATACACTATTTTAAAAGATCAGGTTGCTTGACAAGATCCAGTTCAGTTAAGCAGTTACGGCTTGAGGAATGAGGATTACTGTGTTGTTCATATTCCCGAGTCCAGAATGTGTTGTTTAGATTTTAAGTATAGAATGCAAGTCCTATACTCTGCCTTTGATGGATCCCATAATAACAAGGAGACAACAAGTTTGATGATGAATGAATTCTAAAGATTGCCCAACGAATTGGAACATGAAGAGCAAACTTTGAATAGGAAGGGCGAGGTTGAGCGTGCCTACTCCATATATAATACAGTTAATAAGTTGTTATCATAAAGCATGCCATGAACATGGAGATTGAATCCCTGCGACCATGTTACATAGTTTGGCCTTTTCTTTGAATCTTACTCATGTTGTTTCCGCTCTGTAACTTCATGATGCAGATTCAAGTGATCAAATTACATTCGTTTGTATTAGATTTAGATCCAAGAAACATTGAATGCTGATGCAGGAGGGCCTTTGCTTTTGAAAAATTAGATAATTCAGTTTCAGCCAGGAATGGCTAGGTTAAGATTGCCAATATATTCAACTTTTTGGAATATCAATCAATCAATCAAGGCCTTAATCCCATAAGTGGTGTCGGCTACATGAACCAAATTTGATTATTCCGTGTAGTCATCCAAAAAAATCTTCCTCCTCCATCCTTTACGATCCAATGCTTCATCCTCATGCAAATCCATATACTTCATATCCTTCCTAACTCCTTCCAACCAAGTCATTTTCGGTCTCCCTCTCCCTCGTTTAACCCCTCCATGGTCCCACTCTTCCACTCTTCGAACCGGCGCACCCTCGGATCTCCGTCTTACATGCCCAATCCAACACAGGCGATTTTCTCTTAGTTTGTCTGCAATGTCTGCCACACATACTTTCTTGTGAATAACCTCATTTCTGATTCTATCTTATATAGTGTTCCCGCACATCCACCTTAACATGCGCATTTCTGTAACCTCTATCTTTTTAATGTGCTCCTTCTTAGAAGCCTAACATTCTGTACCAAGAGCAACACTAGTCTTATGGCAATCTTGTAGAACTTTTCCTTCATCTATAAGGGGATGCTTCGGTCACATAACACTCCTGTGGCCGCTCTCCATATAAGCCACCTCGACTTAATCCTGTGGGCCACATCTTGATCAATGTCACCATTTTTCTAGATGATCGACCCAAGATACTTAAAACATTCACTCATGGTCAATTCCTTTCCATCCAAACTCACCACTTCATCACTTGTTCCCTTGTAAGTACCAAAGCGACATACCAAATATTCAGTCTTACTCCCACTTAGCTTAAACCCACTAGATTCCAACCTTTGCCTCCATTGCTCCAACTTGGCATTAACCCCATCTTTAGTTTCATCCACCAAAACGACATCATCTGCAAACAACATACACCATGGAACCTCATCTTGAATTGGTCTAGTTACTTCATCTAGAACCGTTGCAAAAAGAAAAGGGTTCAATGTAGACCCCTGATGCAATCCAATTGTAATAGGGAAATCTTTGGAATATGTTAAACAAAATTGAATATTTTGGATACAATAGCAAAAAATATCAACACAAAAGCCATTATTGGGGCTCCAATGACCATGGCTCTATTCTATAAAGCAGTAAGAGGGAAGCAATATAGAATATTATTGTACAGGATGTTTGGTTTTAAAATCCTGTAAGGCTAAAGGTGGTATTGTAGCTTAGAGATGGAAGATTAAGATTTCAAAAGCTAGAACTCCTAAATGGTGGAAGCCAATTCATGTGGAACTTTAGTGGTGTATGCGGAGTAAAGAATGAATGGATCTTTACTAGGCAAGTGCAAAGCTTGCTCACCTAACCTTCTCACAGTTTTTATTTTAGTCCAGTATTTGTTGGTTGGGCACTTGAGAGTAGAAGGGACTAAGGGAGGGTAAGGGAATCCCTACCCACAAGGCCACAACCACTGCAAGATTTGAACCCCAAACCTCAAGGGTATGGGGTAAGAACCTTACCAAGTGAGCCAAGCCCTGGTTGATAAGAGCAAAGCTTGCTTGGCTTCAAGAATTTATATTCTATCTTCAAACAACTATGTATCGCTAAGAGCATGAGCCAATCTCCAAATTATATTCGAATCATTCATTAACACATGACCATTAGCCAATCTCCAAACTTAATTAAATAGAATAAAGTTTGCATCATCTGTTTTAATAAACTAGAGAGGAGATCTAAATTCAGACAGCTAAGCAGACATCTAGAAACAGACGGTTAATATGGCTAGCCAATTTCCCACTCAGGCTAAGACTTAAGAAAAGAACCCATTACCAGCATATAAATAGCTAAAAAAGACTAAAACAAAATCAAATCTGACATTATTCTCTTCAAATATAATTTATGTTGAATCTAACCTTTACACAGTTTAAAGCCTCTGTAGCAACTTCATTGCTAACTGGGGGACGTGCTTCCAATTCATATTCCAGGTCACTATCATCATCCTGTATGCATTGGCATCTACATTAAGCTATAAAACGTTCATCTGAAACCGGGAAAACATGAAAAAATAGAACGCTTATGATGCTACGTAAGGCATGTCATGCAATGTTACGTCATTTATTATTAACACTTGCTGCCCATACAAATTAGGCACCCAGACATTACACTTTCTTATTCCTTAATTTATTCTTATTATGTTTGACATATATTGGAGGAGTGGCTGATACAAAGAATTCACCAATCTATTTTTCCATTTAGTAAACGATTAAGGGTAATTCACTTTGAGGGTGTTGTAAATAGTATTCCAAGCTACCCTCTAAGAGGCCTAACACCCCTTGGAGGTAGAGAATGTATGTTTTTGTCCCTAACCCTCCTTTCGCAAATGGTTGATACTTAATTCCTGTCTTTCCACTACATGTCTTAATAACTTAGCCAATAGTATATCCAAGTTAAACAATGCTACAACATCTATAATTAATTGTGTCAGCAAGAAAAACAAAAAAATTCAAATAGTCTAAACACATTCCACAAATACAAACAAAACCTTCTAGAGATTGGCGAAAAAATAAACCAAATCAATCCAAGTTATTTCCTTTTCACTTCAACTCAGGCTCAAATTTCGCACGAGGAAGTTTACAGAAATCAAGCAAAAACCCAATTTCCTTGCAAGTAAGAAACATGGCAAAGCAAAACAAATGAATTACTGAAACAATTGATGAGTCCTTTTTCCTAGAAAGTATCATTTTCAACTTCTGAGTTTCCAATTTTAGAAACCCGGAAAAAACTGTCACAAAAGTTTCTATCCATCAAGATTCAAAACAAGTCCAAGTCAGTTTCATGTCCTAATTACAATTGCTCAAAATTCGGCAAATAACGCAATCATGATTTTAGTCGATTCAATGAATTCATCTCATGATCTCAATGCAATACAAAGTGCAAATTCACAAAAAGAAAAACGCCAAAAAGAATATAATGTCAAAATCATGAAACAAATCAAAAACTAACCGAAGGTGGATCCTCAGGATCAACATTCTCAATCAAGGGTTTGCGATAAGCCAAATGACGCCATAACATCTGATACTCCCTAGCAGTTTTGATTCCAGTTTTCGTCTTCTCCACTAACGCCTGCCAATCAATTTTCACCTCTGGAAATTGCGCAACCTCTCTAAGTAGCGACAAAACTGTCGTCGCTGAATACCTAATTTTTCACCAAAATCAACAGCAGAATTTCATCAAATTTAACAAAAATCATACAACTATGAAGAATTAGAGGAGAGAGAAAGAGAAAATATACCTCTGTAAGAGAGTGCAGACATCTTCTTCAGTAACGGCAACTTTCTTGAGCTTAATCTCTGTAGCATCAACCATGGCTTCCGATTAATAAAAAATTCGAAGCTTACTACAACATGATTTGGTGAAGATGATGAAATTAATTTTAAATTTTCCCCAAATTGAAGCTAAAACCCTAAGCTAGGGTTTAAGGTACAGTAATGGCGATGGAATTTTGAATGAATTGTTGTGAATTTTCAGCAATGGAAGGAGAAAGGGGGAGGTCAGGAGGTGGGAGGAGAGAGGAGAGAGAAAGTGTCTGAGTGACAATGACAGAGCATTGAAGAGCGATTTGAGTGAATGGGGGGAATAAACAAGCTGCGTTAGTTAAGCTTGTTTTATGTGTGTTTTCTTAATGTCGAGTAAATGAACGTAATTGAGCTGAAACTCGATTAATAAATGAGCTTTAATATAAACATAGACTAAAGCCTTGTTTGGTTCACCTTATTTTTACTGATCTGATTTGGTCTGATCTGATCTGGTCTGGTTTGATCTGGTCTGATCTGATTGTCTAATTTGACCAAACTTTGACCTTAAGTGTACGATAATCTATAAGGAAAAAATATATCAAGTGGGATCTTGTTAAATTCGTAATAATGTGTAGTTTATTAATATGTAATTTTCACAATTTTTTCAATTATGAAATTAAGAATATTTAGCGATAAAAAACCGCACATAAAACGATGTTCTGATCTGAACTTATTTTTTCTGATCTGATCTAATCTGAACTTATTTTTTCTGAAATAAGTTAAAATAAGTTGAACTAAACAAGGCCTAAGTAGCAACTTTTGTTTGTCGCTGACCATATTGTGTAATTTTCTAATCATTTTATACCTAACATATTTTACATAATCTTTAATTTTGATCAAAATTTGTCAACTATATTATTAGATTTTATTTTGTTTATAAACAACTAATCATAACGGTAGTTTAATAATGGTTATTCAAAATTATCGTTCATGACACGAGAACTAATCTAGTAATTTAAACTCGCTTATGAAAATAAAAAATAAGAAAATCCTATTAAGAATTCTAGTGAGTTGTTCATAAGCAATAGAGCATCCTAATAGAGTGAATTATAAATATTTTTGAGCTTGATTGAAAACCTTATATAAGTTTGGGCTCACCTAAGATAAATAAATAGCAATTTTAGACTGGATTTGACTCTCTTATAATCCTACATAGCTAGAGTGTTATTTAAGTCAAATAGAGTATGTGAATAGTGCAAATTAAAGTGCAAATATTAAAATACGAAAGGGGTAACAAATAGGTATAATAGTAATATACTAATATCGTGGTTTTGGTAGTTCAAAAAAAAATAAAAAATCGTGGTTTTGGTTTGGTACAAAAAAAATTGCTCAATACTTTGTACATTTAGCTCTTTCTCTAAGGGTTTTTTTTCCCTTACCCTTTTAAGCAAATAATACTTGTAATAATTTAGTGATCCTATCATTTTCTGAAAAAAAAAAAAAAAAAAGTCGCCTATGATTATTATCCTGACACCCTCCTAGCCCTAAACCATCTTACGAAAAAGCATGGTGTCTGTAGTCTTGTTTATACAAGAAGATACACAACTACAAAATATCAATCTTGAACGCCTTTTACCAATCATCTAATAAACCAGAACAAGATGAAAAGGCAAATTGCTGAAGAAAAATACATAAAATTAAATTCCTATATAAACATAAATTATAAGCTTTATTCTTCATCTTAGATAAACAATAGTGCACAATACATTTCATGATTTCAAGGGTATCCTAATGACCTACAATCTCTTGCGAGTAAACTTGATAACTTCTGCAACCGCCACACAGCCTTTGATTGTAGAAACAATAAATGTATATAGATTCGACAATGTTCTATCCTCTAGTCAGCCAAAAAGGGTGACAATAGATACAGAAAAGTGGAGTAAGCAATAGCTTACTTCCCACCATCCACTATCATCTGCCGTAGGAATTTTGAGTTTGGATGGAAAATGAGTCGATTGAGCTCAAAGAGCCCTGTAATTACTGCTCAGATGAGAACAAGGTAACTCCTAGATACAGCTTACCACACATCCCGAAGGTATCGTCCATCTGTCTGCAATTTCTTCACAAGAGATTCTGCTTTCGAGGAGTCCACCTTCTCCTGAAAACATATCACAAAAAGTATAAACTTTGTCAAATCTGTACAGGTTTTGTTATACTTCGTATATGACTGCCATACAAAATTGAGTCAGCCAACTGGAACAGAAGCTCCTAATCATCTTCATCCGTTTACTATAGGTTACACACTACCGAGTACAAAATAATAGTTTTGACAGCACTTGGTCAAGACATAGAACGATAGCACATATTATTCTCTTATTCAACCTGCCCTTCGATGCCACCAAATAATAAAGCAAAATATCAGGTCTAGGAAGAGGGGCAGAGAAGGCATAGAGTCCAACAAAAATCCAAACCAGAGATCAAGGTCACTTCGAAGTTCAAAGGCATACGAATATGAACAAAGGCCAACTACATATTGACTTCACATGTCCTAACTTGGGCGAACTAACTGCGAATAAGAAAATTCTCTTGTAGTTTACGACATGTTCATATTAGAAAAATGCAAGTATTGGCCAATGAGATGTAAGCATTTTAAGTAACTCAATTTATTTCCTCACATAGACCTGATATCAATATTCAACTAAATAGTTCACGGCTTTCATACTCTTCAGAAATGATATGAAAAATGTCACTACAGACGTTGGACAGATGGTTCACAAACCAATCATCATAGATTTTCGATCTAAGTGAAGCCAGATCAAATTTTGGGAGGTGCTGCATTACCAAGGCATCTAGTAACATGTTCAACATGACTCTTGATTTTGAATTACAAAGCTAAAGTTTTTAAAGACAAAACTAGCTGAAGGAAAAAGATCAGAGAAACAATGATAAGGATTCCTGCAGGGTTTCATAGCAGTTAACTTCAAACAGTGCTTCATACGATTGACATAGGTCTAGACGAGATGATAATATGAAACATAAACTGCAGTACGCAACTACTCCTGTACAATAATGATATCAGCCAGACAACAACTAGTAATTATGACTAACTTGTACGAATAGTGTTCTGATAATGTCAGACAATAGCCTGTGTCTATTAGCTGTGAAATGCTTTTGGTGGGGGATGGGGGGGTGGGGGTGGGGTTGGGGTGGGGATGAGTACCTGCTCCTGAACAATATTGTGCAAAGTTCGATGAACATCTCGAGCCATGCCCTTAGCATCACCACAGACATATAAGTAACCACCAGAAGAAATCAGACTCCACAAGTACGAGGCCTGCAAATCACAATTTTAAGGTAAATCATTGCTTGGCAAGACTATAAAGGAGACTCACTATTGAATGTGAAAGCACACACCTTGTCCATCATCTTATGCTGAACATACTCCTTTTGAGACCCCTCCCTTGAAAATGCAAGAATCAGCTCTGAAAGAGCTCCTTCTTCAACAAACTTGTTCAGCTCTTCCTCATAGATGAAATCCTACAGATTAAGCATTATATAAGCACTAATTTGGCCGGTAAGCTTCCACAAAACTTACAGGTTTCAGAATACCATTCTACGATTTCTACATCCAAAGAAGAGTATAGCAGGACCAAGTTGGACGCCATCCTGTTTTAAAGCCAGTCTTTCCTGGAAAATAGATGCACAGTTAAATTTTGAAAATTCAGCAATCTAAATAACCCATTTATGTGCAGAATATTAAAGGAGCATAAACCTGTAAAAATCCTCGGAAAGGAGCCAAACCAGTTCCAGGTCCCACCATGATTATTGGAACTGAAGGGTCTGCCGGCAACTTGAAGTTAGATGCTCTGATAAAGATTGGAGCCCAGCTACAATTCTGGCTTTTCTCTAAAGGAACTGAATTCTGGCCATATAAGAGAAAAATTCAGAAAACTGTCATGGTTTGACATGCAACAGCATGCTGTCACAAAATCCTACAACACGTATATAATGGGCTACCAAATATATATAACAACATTCTGACAAGTAATATGTTTTAACTCAATGCTAGCATAAGCAAAGTTTGTTCCTATTACCTTCATCCAAGTTGAACAAACCCCTTTGTGGATTCTCCCTGTAGGCGTAGGACCATAAACCAAGGCACATGTGACATGAACTCGGTTTGGATATAGTCTGCAGATACATGTTAAGCAGTTTAGAATCTCCATATTCTTCATGAGAATCAATACACCCATAAAGTAATACAAGCCTAAAGTTGAGCCACCTTGGTGAGGATGAGATAGAATAGTAACGCGGTTGTAACCGAGGAGCCACGGAAGCGAAAAATACGCCAAGAGGAGGCTTTGCTGATGGAAATTCAGACATGACCTCCAATAGACTCCTTTGACTAGCAACAATCCAAGCTGAATACTCATCCTAAAGAGAGATAATTTCCAAAGAGAATAATTTAACAAGATCAGGGAGAACCAAAGTAGCAAAAAAAAAAAAAAAAAAAAAAAAAGTAGCAAAAAAAAAAAAAGTTAAATCAATTTTTTGCAGAAAGACCATTTGAAAAATGTAGATATATGAACCTTGCCCTCAGGTGATGCCAAATGCTTCAATCTCTCTGCCTCACCGGGTTCTGATGCATGAGCAGCCAAAGCAAGTAGTGCAGCCTGAGTATAATAACTAAATAAGAACCAATGATGCCAATTCCCCAATATGAAACCAAAACAATAAGCTCAGCGTAAGGGAAAAGAAAGATAATAACCTTTCTAGGAGAGGTTAAAACATCAGCATATCGCGCCAGACCAGAGCGAAGTGTACAAGGACCAGGAAATGGTGGTGGTAGTGAGCCACCCAAAGGTGTACCATCTTCTGCATCTGTGTGAATCGAGAAAATCAAATCCAGTGGCTGACCCAATAGCTTTCCTGCTTCTTCCACAATTTCATCATAATTCTCAGCATAGACTCCAACATGATCTCCAGTTTCATAACTGAAACAATAATGATAAATTTTAAGGCTTTTCTCCTTCAGAGAACATAACGAATGCAGAACAATTTGATAATAGCTTACAAGCAAAGTTTTCCTTTCAGAAATAAAAAAAGATGGAGAAAAGACTCGTGGAATCTCTTTGAGCACCAACTAGACAATACATGAAGTAGTAATGGGCAATAAGGAATAGTCAAACTTTTATATAGTGCTCTTGCACGCTTGAACACAAGTAAAATTGTACATAACAGCATGATGCAATGAAATACGGCAGACATGGCAAGAAGGGACTCTACCATATATCTATATATACAGCAAGGTGCCAAGGTTAGTCAGTTAAACGAATACTTACGTTAATCCAGTGCCTGCTATATCAAACTCCAAGTGTATACAGGAGCGGTCAGATTCTGGTTTATGAAGCTCCTTTTGCACCGCCACATTAGCTCTTTTGGAATTTCAAAAGAAAAGAAACTAGTTAGCCAGACAGATTTAGCAAAAACAGGAAACAATGTGTGTGATCTACTAGGCAACCTATAATGTCCACTTAGATAACAAGTACTAGTATTTTATACTTCTAATATTAGGTACACATGAAAGTAAGTAATAAAGGTGTGGTATCATAGCTCAGAAAAAAAAAACATCTAGTCTAAAATAAGCTCATTAATCAAAGGAAAAGATTTGACAATGTCTGCCGCAATGTATAAAAAGGGTCAAGGCGCACCAAGGCATTTCAGAGCTCCCTGCGCCTAAGGAGTGCCTTAGTACGCCTCGTTGAAGTGATGTGCATATAATAAACAATTTACAAAAATATTGAAAAACAATAGTGTGCCTTAAGTTGCGCCTCATCAAAATCGCCTCTCCTAGACCACAAAAAGCACATGACTCCAAATGCCTTGCGCCTAGGCAGGCCTTTTCAAACACTGGTCTGCCAAACAGTGATACTAAAGACTTGGCTTAATATGCCACTAGACTATTATGAGTCAATAAATAAATTAAATTATAAAATTTCAACTGTGAGTCCAGGCAGTATTTGAATATACCTGCATGGATGATGAATATCAAAAGCTGCATTGCCATTTGCCATAGTGTTGTACTGATTTTCTAAGGTTGTGACAGCAGATTCATGAATGACTACACGATATTCAAGAATAGCAGCTGTGTATGGTGTTGACACAGTATTTGTATCATCTGCATCTTTCAAAATCTTGTCTAACTCTGGCCACAAAGATTCCCGCCTATATGGAAGATAAACATGTAATCAATACAGCAGCAAAGAATCGACCAATAAGCATATTCGCAGAATATCAGCATTAGAGTTAAAATCCAACTGATACACACCAAGCAGTAAAATCATCCTCAATACATTGATCATCATCGCCAAGACCAACAGGGACCAGACGCTTTGCACCTGACACATGGAGCACATTAGAAATATTCAATAGATATTTGTTAGTAAGCCGCACATATAACGATATAAACGAAAAATATGAGATCAAGAGAAGATGATACTCTACATAAAGAGAGTACAGAATTTCATATTAAGAAGAGTAAATGGGTTAAGTACATGATTAAGAATTTAGCCTACTTTAGCCACACTTAGAGTTGAAGTGAGGTTCTAGAACTAAGCTAAGCATAGCTACTTGCAAAACTTAGCTAAGTACATACCTATGTACCCAACCTAATCAATCTTTACAATGGGTATTACAAAAAGATAAATTTTTTTAAATGGTACTTCTCAAATAAGCAAACAAGATAAGGACTCTTATCAAGCTAAGAGAATTTCCCAACAGTGCAATATATTCCATACATAAACAAAAAATGCTCTTCATAATTTTAGTTACTCATCTTCTTATTCCATTTTGTAATAATAAGATGATTTGTAATTTAGTTCACCCTGTTTAATTAAACGGATAAAACTTGATGTAATTGTAACAAGAAAAACTCAACACATTAGCTAAACTGGTATATTTTAAAAAGAAATTAGGTGTGAATGCTTATATGGGTTAGGCAACTTAGGTCTGTGGACCCAGTTTATAATACAGGTCAAGTTTGTGTTGAAGGTTTATGGCCTGATTTTTAAAAGGGTCGTCTTGGTGTTGAAGGTTCTCCAACCAGTTAATCTTCGATCCAAACACAACCCAACACAGCCTGTTTGCTCTAAAAAGTACCCAAATTCTACTTGTGGACATCATTGCAAATGCTAGTATAAATCAAAATACGCCTGCTTGACATGGCAGTTTGTCAGTATATTATTGACCATATAGAAGTATGGAATAAAAATAACACGATTTTTTGGTACCTTGTTCAACGAGCTTTTCGTCTAGATCCTTTCCAATCTGTTCCAGAAAAGGTCACACCATTAGTTAGTAAACAAATGAGTAAGAAGTGGTTGGCCTTAAAAGATAATTTACCTTGTTGAAGTGTTCATACTGACGATTTCCCAAGCCGAAAACACCATATGTCAATTGCTGAAGCCATGGTTCCCTCTCATTACCCTATACAAAAAAAAAAAAAAAAAAAAAAAACCAGACCACCATGTTACAGAATGCGGTAAATGAACTTACCACTAAGGCACTAACTTCCCCAAAGAGCTCCTTCCACTCCCCCCCCCCCCAACTCCCCAAAAAATAATGGACAGGAAAGAAAATGGTAGAAGTTGAATTGGTGGAAAGAAGCCAATACCTCTGTGAACCATTTGCAAAACCGAGCAGCATTATCAGTAGGCTCCCCATCTCCATAACTACAATGTCAATGATGTCAGTTTATAAATGACTTAACTGATAAACAACAAGTGTAAGACATATACTCACAAAACAAGTAATCTTACGTGGCAACCATGAAGAATGCTAAAGTTTCTTTTTTTAGTTTTTCTTCATATTGGTCATCGTCCGCAGCATAATCATCCTATTTTAATAGGTGGAAAGCAACATTTTTAGACAAATCAAAGAAAAATAGATCTAAAAAGAAACTTGCAAAGAACACTCTCAATCAACAAATAAAAACAGTAGCTGCCTCACTTACCAGGTCAACAACCTTCACTAAAGCCTTGTCATATCTTGCCTTGATCTCTTCTGCTAAAGCCTGCAGAAAATCACAAAAAATAACAAAAATGACACTGATATTTCATATGCTACAAAGTCTACAAGAGAAAGGTCACTGAAGGTACAGCAACAAACAGAAACAAGTTCAATGCTATTGAAACTCTGTAAAACCATTCCACACCCACTCTTTCTACTACTACAACCATCACTTCATATTATCTATCAGCCTGACTAACTCTTCTTATTCCATACATCTGTTGCTACGACTATTTGTCTATATAAAATTTGAATGCAATGTTACTGGTCAGCTTTCAATATTGAAGCAACAAATTAAAGTATCCTTAATGTGAGTGGTAAGTCCATAACCTTAAAGAAACTTATGAATTTATGATAGAAATATAGAACGCAGTTATTACTATTAGGATCTATGATGAGCAGAGATATCAAAGAAAAACTTTATATGTACCATAATGATATAACAGATTATAATGATTAAATGTTTTATTCAAGTTTTATCTCGTAGAAATAAAGATTTGCATTTCCAATCATATTGCACTTGGAAGGAAGGAAAGTAAAGTTTCCAATTTTGATGCCAATTATGCCACTGGGAAGCACCAACCTTTCCAACCATTAAGCCATCAATTTGAGGATTGGTATAACCTCTCGTCTCAGTCTAATTTCTATTATTTTTTTTGGCTATAACAATGTATGTAGGGATTTTCCAGCGCCTTGGCGCCCCTCATTGTAATAAGACACACTTAATCAATAGCGAAAAAATACTGGAAAAAAGCTGTGCAACTCAAGACTCGCATCAGTGTGCCCCTTTGCACCTCACTGAAATCGCCTTGCCTAGACCAGAAAAATAAGAGCCTCAGCACCTAGTGGCGTCTATACAATGGGTTATAAGGAATAAGATAAAATAGGACACCAAGGGGATGTCAAACCAACACAAACAGAAAGGCTACAAGTAATCACCCAACAATTTCCATTGCTCCAAGACATGTACATATCACCCAAATCAATAGAGATGTACAAACAAAATTGAAATATCCTCAATCCATAAATATGATGATCTTGTCTGCACAATCATAGGAAGAAAAACGAATTTCATATCAAAGCGCTTGATTCCAACCATACAAGATCGTTTAAAATTGAAGCTTGGAGTAATAAGGTTTAATCTTCCCTACAGAAATCCGACAATTCTCCGTCCAAATACACCAAATAGCCAATAGAACTAGTTTCCACAATTAGAAATTCATTCATCCTTCAAACTTGCCTTTCCAAGCTACTTAAATATCTTTGATTAGTCTCTCATTCCAAAATCATGGTTCTTTTAATTTTATTGAAAGATAGTTGAACAATGCCATACCATATGCACATCCCACATTAAGTTCAATTATTAGGAGGGACAAACCATGAGGCAAGGTTGTAATTTCTAATTTGTGTAGAGTTGTCATCAGCCATGTCATAAAAACTCTTCGCCCATGTAGGAGCTGAACAAAGCTGCGCAGAAAAAAAGCCTCAAATAACAATGCAAGTGAGCAGTGAGGATAGTTGCCTCCTCAGTCATACTCCTTGTGCATTAATTGCAGAGCTAGTGAAAGGAAAAGCACAATCAGTTGTACTCTGCAAATAATGTCCAGGGACAATTGAAAACTTATCTATTGAAATATGTCATGAACTTCTGTCAAATAGGGAGACTGCAGACTTGAAAGTCACAAATCTCACAATCTCATTTTTCCTTTCATCTCTCTCTCCATCTTCTTTCTCGGAATTCTACATGTCATTGTCTGAATTCAATTATAGATTTCCAGACTTAAGTATGTTCTGCAGTAGTTATCAATCCATGATTCCATGGTAGTTTTCAATCTTTTCATTTTAGCTTACCACATATCACTCAAAGCACAAGCATTTAGAGCATTTAAAAGCTTTCAACAGAAAAAATATAAGGCTTGTTAAACAAATCAGGTGCTATCAACTAGCATTGCATGGGTATATGACTTGATTTGATTCAATTTGATATGGAGTACAGGAGCAGGGATGAAGAGTGCAAACATCTAACAAGTAAAATCATACACACATGAGCGCGCACACATATACAATACTTTACAACACTTTTCACTAGTTGCAATATCGAAACTATAGAGAGAATAAAGATAATAGTGGAGTTGCTATCTAGCCCAAGTTGGTGAGTTGTATTGTTTTCAAAGGATAAATTATTAACCTTTTTCACTACATTAAGGGCATTAGGATATCAAATAGACTTCAACCATGGAAGTGAAAGGGTCGGCTAATTGCTAGCCTCTCCTCCTCCTTTTTTGAGACACTTGCAAAAACAATGGCCAGGTCAGCAAAAATTTAGATTGACCCTGTCTACTCTGACCATCCACAAACCAGTGACCCTTAAGCTTTTGCACTTCTAATCTGGCAGCCATTGCTGTAGCCTGTAATCCTCACATCAAACAATTTTCAATCTACCTAATCTGAAATCACTTCAATTGCATGAATTGTGGGACAAAATACTACATCTTCCTTTAGATTATCCTCTGTTTCTTTCTCCCTGCACCGTTCAACATTTCCCTATACAAATATCCATTTCTATGGTTTACCTTGAAGACAAGAAGCCTCAACAATATCATCTCCAGAGTATTTTCCTACACTTTCAACCAAACCTTTTCAATTCAGTGCAAAACCTCATTCATACTAGCTTTATACTAATACTACAGCCAAATTCCATTCCATTTTCCGATAGTTCCGAGTTGATGTATAGATAGTAGTTGTTATTTGTCTTTTAATTGACTATAGATTTAGTTTAGGGAATAATTAATAGTATGTTGATTTAATTGAATTGAAAGTATTAGCTGAGAAGGCTAGTTGAATGTTGAAGTTTAACCTAATTGGACGAGCTTTTTCGAAGCATCTCTGCTTCTCAAAGTTCAGCTCTCAAGCATCCAACTAATCAACAAGAGCAAAGTTCAGTTCTCAAACATCTATCCAACAAACACTTCTGCCTCTCAAATACACAAAATTCCATCCAATCAACAATTCGACATCATCTCAACAAATTTAGCTCAAATAATAATTCCACCACCAATTCTTCCACCAATCAACCAAATCACCATGAACTTGCTTTCATTCATCCAACTTCATATTACTCGCGGCAGTTTTACAAGCAAAGCACAATCTAAAATCCAGTGAACACTTCCAAACCTTAATAACCTATCCTAACACTCGAATTTTACCATAAAATCCACATTTTTCAACAATTAGAAATGCATGCAACTAATCAACAACAAAACAATCAAATTAACATCAAACTCAAAAAAATTCACAATTTAAACCAAAAAATCATCAAAATTACCTTAGCAAATCCCTCGGCAGTACCAGTTTGAGTACCAAAAAACACCGTAACCTTAGTTTTACCAGCAGCAATTTCAAGCTCATCTTCCTCAGGTTCAACCTTCAATGGTTTAGGAGCAACAAAAGCCGAACAAACTTTACCTCGATCGTTCGATCTTCTCCATAGAATAACCACCAATCCGATAATCAATGCAATCGAAGTCGTCAAAATGACAATCGCAGAAGAATTTGACGGCGAATCCAATGAAACTCCGAGCACCGATTCGATGGATCGGATCAAATCGGAGCTCGTAGACGCCATTGATGAGAGGTGATTTTCTCTCTCCTCTAAGGGTTTCTCGAAGGTTCAGGAAACCCTAGGGATTGGTTTTGAGAGGGTTGGTGAAACTCACTGATTCAACACAACCTCTTCTCTCTTTCTTCTTCCTCCTATCACTGAATGAAATGGGTGGACTTTTGTTTTTTTTTTTCAATTTTTTATTTTTATTTTTTTTGGAGCACAGTATTTTATTTTATTTTATTTTGTTATTCTATTTTTATAACAAAAATTAAAAATAGTAAATCATGGATTTTGAGAAATTTAAGCAATTCTTTTGTTGTGTGGGAATGTGCAATAAAAAGTGATGGGGGAGTATGATCATATTTATCACTATATGAAAAAGGTTGCTTTTCTTCTCGACCTTTCTTGATTTTTGGTTGGTAAGATTTGTATATTCCAGTATCTTATCCAATTCTTTTCCCAAAAAAAAATCAAATTTATGATAAAAATGATTTACTCCCTCCGTCCCATAATACATGAGACGTTGATTTTTTTCCCACCATTCATGCATTAGGTTTGATCATAATTTTTTACTAACATAATTTAATTTTTAAAATAATTTTCATTAATATTTAATTATATAAAATAAAGTCAAACTTAGACCTGATTAAGTATGGTCCGGCCCGATTTTGGACGGATTTTGGGCAGAATTTTTTGGCCCAAAATCGGGTTAAGCTCGGCCCGATTTTTTTTGGACGGGTTTGGAAATACGTATTTATGCATATTTAGTTGATTTTTTAGGCCCGGCTCGAAAATGGCCTGAAAAGCCCGCACGACCCAACTATTTTGGGCGGGTTTGGGCACAAAAATTTCAGCCCAAAGCTTGGCCCGGACCGAGAAGTGGGCATAATTTTTTAGCTTCAACTCGGCCCGCCCAATGATCAACTCTAGTCAAACTAGTGTATTGGCATGTGTGCAATGTTTAACTGTGTTATGCATTATGGGACAGATGGAGTACTCTATTTTCAAATATGTTTATTAATTTCACTTTTATATTTGTCCATGCTTAACTTTAAATTAACAACTTTAATTATACATTTGTAAAGATAGTTAAAACAAAAAAAAAAAAAAAAAAAAGTTAATATTATGTACGAAGTATTAAGAGTTTGAAACTAATCTAACAATATTTTACATATTTTTATACAAGTGAAGTCAAACTTAATTATACACTCTTCATGTGACATACTTGACAATATTAGATGTTAGATATCAAGTAGTAGATGAAAGATGTTCAACACGTACAAACTAGTAACTAATAGTTTTAACGGTGACATTAGTTCTTAATAACCACAACTCAAAAAACTAATTTTGTTAGCTTTTGTACAACATTTTAATTCAAAGGTTATAAACACTATAGTCGTATGGAGTATTTTGACTTAGTTATTCTGAAAGTAGTTGTTGATAGGGATGTGCAAGTGACCAGAAAAACTTAAGCCAAATCTAAAAGCCAAGAAATTTCTACCCACATATGTGGGTAACTAAACCAAATATCACTTGTATAACATGGTTAAGATTATAAGAAACTCAAGAAAATTTAAAATACCAAAAATACTTATTGATCTATTTGTTTAACTATTTTACAATACTATAATTAACAGAATAAGTGATTTTATTCTAGCACTCTTAGTTTTTAAAAATAGTTAAGACTTTTTGAGATTGTGTATGTAAACAGAGTTTATGTACACACGCAACAACAATTACAAAAACAACAACAAACTCATAGTCGTCTACTGAAATAAAAATAAAGTTGTAATGTAACAATTCTAATAAACAAATCAATGAGGAACATATGAAAATGAAAAATGTAGCTATATAATAAAAAATAAAAAATAAATAAAAAAATAAAAAATTGAGGTAATACATTTCCAAAGTTTGAGATATGAAGTTTGCAAAGCTCTTCATTTTCTCATGGTAATTATTGGATGGGAAAATATATCATTAATAAATTTATTTTATCATAACACTAATATATAATACAACAATATTACAAATAAATAAATGGATGGAAAAAAAAACCTTAAATGTAAATTATAATTATGCAATGCACCATTCTTTGTTTAACTCGTGTTTCAAGAATTCAATTTCATTTTCATCTATATGTAGCACAAGAAGTTTACCATCTTTTGTGCCTGGAAGTACCAAAATCGATCCTTTATCCCCAACTCCATCAAGAGTATAACTAGCAAATGTTGGACGATTTCTTTTTATTTGAAAGCCATAAATATCAACTTGTGTCATGTCAACAAATGTAAGGTTTGTCCCATAAACAATATAGTCAAATTTACTCATATCATGGTTCACCAATTCTTCAACCATGTTGCTCTCATCAACATAATTTTCAGCAACCAAATGTACCAGTGTCGAAGGATCAGCACTCGACACTGAAAACGTGGCCTCGATTGTGCCTAGCACTTGTCCATTATAGGGCATCCCATGTTCCTGCTTGATTGTTTTTGGTCTACATATAGTCACATTTTTGGTCTCCAAGTCATTCCTAATTTTTGCTATGGACTTCCATATAATAGCTGTAATTACCTCAAAAAATTGGCTTGAATCTTTATCTTTCATTTTGGAACCATGCACCTTCAAATGCAATTGATCTAGTTGTTGTGGAGTAAGATGAAAAGTGTGGGTACCTATCTTACAATTGGTTGGGTTAACCCAATGGTCACCCACTGGGTTGACCCGTTTTACTGAAGTGGGCTCTTGAGATGGGCTCAAAGGCTTGTAATTGGGCTGTGAAGGATGTTGAATGGCAAGAGTTTTGGGTTTTTGATGGTGACCTTGCATATATTGGGTCCACATGTTCATAAATTCTGTAGCTGAGAATGCATCACCAAGTATATGAGCCCAACTTAGGCCCATAGAAATTCCTCCACACTTGAACCATGTCACCTACAATCAACTTGAGTTAGTATTAAGAGAACCTTAATGGTGAAATTATATAATAAAAAGTGTATTTTAATAAATTGTAAATTTTTATTTAAAATGGAGGTAATGCAAAGTAAAGGTAACAAGGAAAGCATTTTTATTGATTCAACCCCCTTTCTATTAACAATTTTAATTCAATAGTCATATTCTTTTCACCTAATTTATACTAAAACGAAAGCAACTTTATTGATTTAACCCTATTTTTACTCATAAAAACACTATACAAGAGAGTAAGGGAGAGATGTGTAGGCAGAAGTTAATCTCGATCAAATCTCAAATATCATTCCTAAGACATTATCAAGCATGTTGCAGAGTAATTATATGTAGAGGGGGCCCTTCCACCAGGGCCAGCCAGGGGCTCGACCCCCAATAGATTATTTTAATTAGTTAGTTTGTTAAGGTAAAATACCCTATTCTACTTATATAATTTTGCGTATAGTGATTAAATTTTGAGTTAGAGATTCGAATGTTAGCTCCTCCAATATTTTAGGTCAATATCCGCTACAGATTATGTGTGATAGTACATATAGCTACCCATGTCTTTGGTACATAGATTGGTAACAAATATACTTGAATAATATGATTAGAGCAAGTTGGCAAGTAGGGTAGTAATGAAAGTGTGTAGCTGTAATGCCTGTAAATTAGATACAGAGTAATGGATGAACAGATGAACTAAGGAGTTACATTACGTATACGTCGGAGTAGTTGGCCGTTGGAATTTAATCATCACATGAACTGTTGAGTTTATGCAGTTATATAACAGATACGATGTACGTACGATATTGGTTGCACTAAACCAATGCAACTAACTTTAGCTGTCAAAAAAAGTAAAAATTAAACCAACTAACCTCAACACCCCTATTTATAGTTATTTTGATGGAATAAAAGTGATACACTCAAAGTGTGTTCTATTCATTTGATTTTTACTTATCTAAACTTACTTGAACTTATTAGACCTTATTAAAACTTATTTTAGTTGTATTTATACTTGTCTAACCTTATCAGAACTTATTTGAACTTAACTTAACTTATCTGAACTTATTACACCTGTTAAGTGAAAATAAGGTGAACAGAACAAATCCTCATTATGTCCTTTGCATAATTTAACTTTTATGTCTTAAAATTTATACTCTTATATCTTTAATTTTTAAATGTAAGTAAAAAAACTAAAATTACATTAATTTGATATTTTAAAAGTAGATATTGAAATAATTTTAACAGGATTTCAAAATTTTGACCTAGGGTAATCTTTAAGGGACGGATGCCGAGATTAGGGTAATAGTCATATTTAGCTCTAAAGTTTGTATATATTTAAATTGAAAATTAAAGTATGCTTTTTGTTGGAAATTGATAGTTACTCGAAGGGTTACATGTAAGAATTAAAAAAAAAAGGATTAAGAATAATTTACCATCAATTATACCGATTGAAGCACAATTATTGCCATAAATTCTTTAGGAGAAAATAAGTTATGATAGGCGTTAAATTAAATTCAATTTTTAAGTAAAATAAGTTAAGTGAAAATGAATATGCACCTTCGGATATGATAATTAATGTACTTCCAATTCCATTCATATTAATTTAAAAATTCTCACTCAATTCATGAACATTTAGTCCATTTTAATGGCGTCAATTATACAAATCATATCAATACTATGGTGTCTTCAAATGTGTTCTTCACCTATCCAAATCTAACCGATAAGATTAATTGAATTATCTAGAACTTATCAAAACTTAGTTTAGTTGTTGAATGAACTTAGATATTGGTTTTTTTTTTCTATTTATTTATTTATTTATTTTATTTTATTTATTTAATTTTTTTTTAATACTTACCTTTACTTAATTATACAATGATGTCTTTTATTATCAATTCTTTGGGAAAAATAAAATGAACATAATAGGGCCTAAATTTCATGATTTAAATGTTCGTTATTTATTCTGAACTTTCCAAAAGTTGCCATTTAGTTTTGCACAATTAGTAAAAAAAATTAACCTAATATCCTAATTTGCTCCTTGCTCAATATATACTAATTTCATCCTATGTAATTACATTCTACATATCCATTAACATGTTATGTGGTCTTCATGACACATTTTTTATGGTTAAAGTCTATAATTCTTTTTGTAATACTGTATATAATTTTTGAAATATAATACAAGTATGAGAATTCACATTAAAATGAATCAAACAAGATTTCTTATACAATATTTGTCCTTGTATATAATTAAAGTACCAAAAATGGTCAAAGTGTTATAATTTCCATCTGAATAGTAATGAATAGTCACTTCTCAAAAGGCTAATGTAAAATTTTCAACCACCAATACTACAAAAAAGAAATAACTATAGTACAATACTATCATTGCCTTATTGGAAATTTGGTATTGCTATTTTGGTCAAGTGTACAGTAATATTTTTTTTTGGTGGGAAAACTGTACAGTAATATAAATAATCCAAAAGAAGCTAATTTTGCATGTGTGGGTTAGATTAAAGATTAACCAAAAGAGTACTTTTATGGGTAAATTCTCCTTAAGGTGAGGCAGAGCAATTAATGCATATTATTGAAGTTAGCATACACTGCATATCTACATGCTAAGGTAGTTAGGTAGATTTAATTCAATGACAATGAATCTCATGGTTAAAAAAAAAAAAAAAAAATGAAAGCCAGTGAATGAGATATTTTAAAGAGTAATTAAGCATCGCTTTAGCTAGCCCTTGCTGGAGGTTGCATCGAGAGTATTAAGTGATAATGATGTATATGAGATTTAATTTAAGATCGACTTGACCCATTAGTACGTCAGTTCGAAATCACATCATGTCACTACTTGTTAATGGGACACTAAATCATAATCTGAGATTGACTAATTGCTAGCTATGCAAATTGAAGTTCTTACTAAGCAAATTAATGGATAAACAAGGTAGGAAGCTTAATCAATCATAAAAATTACCTGAAGACAAACAAGAGGAGAAAAGGGCAAGTCAGGACCAAGAGCATGATTATAGATTAATTGATCTTGCATCGACAAGAAGTCCTCCATAGCAAGCCACTCGTCGACAGTCTTGCTCGACTGAGCCTCGACAACCCTTATACCGGCATCATTGAGCTTAATCGATGGCCGGTCACCGGTCTCATCGGAAGAGGCCCGGATCCTCCCACAAGCCACAAAGTAAGAGATTAGCCAATCATACATAGGCACACTCTTCATTTCACTAACACTCCATAAATTATTAGTAGTACCATTGTTCTTTGTACCATTGTTACTAGTACTATTAGTAATGTTGGTGTTATTGAAGAAATAAAGGCCCTTAAGATAATGCAATTTCATTGCCAAATCTATGCCTTTTAACTCATATGTTTTGTTTTCACCTGTAATTTTTCCAGGCACTACTGTTGCTACTCTTACGTCAAAGACTAAATTTTTCTTGGTATCTTCTTTTGGAATTGGCATTTTATTTTCGATTTTGGTGTTTATTTGTTTGTTGGGAGGGAGAGGAAGGTTTAGTTTAGTTTATGGACATGCATGTAGCATTAGCTTATATAGCCGCTGCTACTCATGCCCATTTAACTTGTTAGAATGATTAATTGAAAATGTTGAGTCTAAATATATTTTTTCCATTCTTTTTTAATCTCTACATTTGGAATTTTACTCTGATTGCACACATTTCATTCTTTGACTGTCTTTTGTGATTTATTTTTATTTATTTATTTTTTTTTAAAAAAATATTTTTATGCAGGATTTTGTTAGATTTGTTTAGATATACATTTTCATAATATCAATTCTTTTTATAATTTTATTACTATAAGATAATTACAATATTAATCGTTTAAGTTGTACTTTGAAGAAACATGAACTTTCAAATGTTGCAATTCAAAATTGAACAAATAAAGTAAAGTACTGTACTATTATTATTTCCTCAACATACATAGCCTCGGCCTCCGTAAACTCAATGTCAGGATTAGTGTCAAGAGTTAGACATGAAGGAATCAAGTATTAGAAAACTGTAATGAATATGATGGATTTGAGTATTATTATGTTTGGGTATATTAACATTATACAATTATGTAATACCGTATGTATAAGAAAGTTGTCGTCAAAAAGAGGATTTTTTAGCCTCTAATAGTTTAAGTCATCAATGACTCTAGTATTGCCATTTGAAATTAAAATATGCATATATTTAGTTGAATTGGTACTCATCATCTTATTACCAAAATACTTTCTTCATTATCAACAACAATCGCAAAATATAAAATTAGGATGTAACATGTTGCCTTGTTGGTATCTATAGACCTATTAGTTAAACCTAAGATAATATCATCGAAATATTGCTTAATAACAATGATCGTCTCATATATGACCCAATCTATTATAGGCTGAGAATTTCATGCCATAAACTGCAAAAGTGTAAGATTATTTTTGTAGTCATTTTATTTTGATACTAACGACAACAACGTATGTAGTAACAATAAAATTGCAACCGAACAACTTCCCTATATCAAATCTAGCTACAATTTGAGCATATACAATGTACTATGTACCTAAGGTCCTAAGGCCTTTCATATCGTTTTTCGAAATAGAGGATGGAAGAACAACTGAAAAAGTGCCTCGATCGTTTTTTGAAATTGTGAAGGTTTATCTTTCAACGAATATCCTTCTAATTAAAAAAAAGTTCTACTTCCTTCGTTTTTTTGTTCTTTTATTTTTAATTTTGACACTATTCATTAAATGGAAGAGCTAGAGAATCTTCTAAATTGCTGACAATATAAAAAACAATAACATAGTGATATTAGTTGGGTCTTATTTTAATCGTCTTAAGGAATGTTTAATTAATATTACTGTTATATTTTTTTACTAATTTACAACTAGCTAAAGATATTTATAGTTAAAGTAATACGTTGATATTTCAGTCAAAATATATAGAAAGAACATTATATTCAATACAATATGCCGAGTACTTTATTTTGGAAGCTAGGTCAAAAGGTGTTGTTAGGTAACAAATTAAAAACTGAAAAGCAATTCATCTTTTTAACATCAAGATTATTTCATACTTTAAAAGAAAAAGTACACGGTTGTTGCCTTGTTGGTAATCTCCCTATCTCATAAAAAATCAATAAAATCTGTTATCATGTAATAATATTTCTATTTCCATGAGAATGTACAACCAAGAGCAGAAATTACAAGAAAAAAGAAAGAAAATGGGTTTTCAATTATACAGAGTAAGTAGTAATTTCGGTTTCGGTTCGGTTTGAAACCAGTACGGTTTGAAAATGGATCAAGTGCCTTATATGTTGGTTTCGTTCGGTTCAAATTATTATCGGTTTGGTTCGGTTTTGGTTTATTCTTGAACGGTTTTAATTCGGTTCGCCTTATAAACGGTTCGGTGCATGCGGGTGGCAATTTGTTAATGGTTCGGTGTAAACGGTTTCTATCCCGATTCAAACGGTTTCGGGTTAGAAATGGTTCGGTTCTTTTTCGATTCGGTTTTATTCCACTTCGGTTTAGAATGGGTTCGATTCTTTAACGGGTTTGGTTATTATACGGTTTAACATTATTCGGATCGGTTCATTCGAGTCGGTTTTTTCGAATTCAAAAAATATTCTTTAGTATAATTTTCAAGCTAGAATTTTTCAAATTTCTTTTTCAATTGATTAATAATAATTTTTGTATTGAATTTAATTTGTTTTTGAAAGATCAAAGGATGCAATCATCTCATTCTAAAAATTCAAGAATTATAATAGCACATCATAAGAATTTGACTAGGCCAGTTTTGGTCCAATATATATAATTCCGAGCAAAATATAAAGCACTTTGATGATGTCGTTTAAAGAGAAGATGAAGATTATTTTTGCTCAATCCATAATTACATAAAAAAGTCAAGGAAAACAATAATGTACTCCGTAGAAAACATGTGTGCATAATTAAATTTCATTTAAAAAATTTCCTTTTAGCGTGATTTAATCTTTCCTTTATAGTAAGCACTAAGCAGTTTATAAACGATTCGATTTATAAGCAGTCCGGTTCATGAACAGTTTGGTTATAAACGGTTCAGTTTGTAAGTGGTCCGGTTTATAAACAGTTCAGTTTGTATACGGTTCGGTGCAAAGGGGTTGTGGTTTGTTAACGGTTCGGTGTAACTATTTTTATCCCGCTTCAAACAGTTTCAGGTTGTAAACGGTTCAGTTCTCTTTCAGTTCGGTTTTATTTCAGTTCGGTTCGTTAACGCGTTTGGTTCTTATATGGTTTAACATTATTCAGATCGGTTCAATTTCGGGTTTACTAAAATAAGGTTCTGGTCGGTTTTCGATTTCAAAAGATCGATTTTTAGTCGATTTAATTCTTATTTGGGTCGGTTGGTTTTAGGCAGTTAAAAGGTTTCGGTTTGAAATTTGACAGTGCTAATTATATGCCATTGTCTCATTTTCAATTATTAGCACTTTGCTTTTATCTTTTAATGGGATTATTAAAACAACTCAAAACTCTAAGTTAAAATTTATTTTCTCGAAAGTAAATTACCCATTTTTACTTTTCTTAAAAAAAAAAAAAAAAAAAAAACCATTTTACTTTTCTTAAAAAAATAAAAGCCATTTTTACTAATCACTCGTAGTATTCATATGAACTTTGAAGAGAATAAAGCTTATATATAGAATCACATTTTAAAAAAAAAAATAAATGGTAAGGAGGACCCTACCAGACCTAAACCCTCACAGTTTTTTGATTCAATATTTACGTGCTAGGCACTTGGGAGTAAAGGGGAATCTCTACCCCCAAGTACTCTCACTTGGTAGGATTCAAACCCCACACCTCAAGGATCCGAGGTAGAGGTGATCAACATCGGCCCTACCCGCTATCCCAGCGCAATCCAGCTCGAAAATAGGGCGGGGTTGGGCAAGCCTAAAAACGCATTTTTAGTTAAAAGCCCAAACTCGGTCCGAAAAAGCCCGAAAAACCCGCTACTTTTTTACGGGTTTGGGCACGAGGTATCATGTTAAGGCCCATCCTGACCCAATTTTTTGATCACCTCTAATCAGAGGTAAGAACCTTACCTAGTGAGCCAACAAACTTTACCAAGTGAGCCAACACTTTGTTGGTATATAGAATCACACATGATCGAATTTGAACCCACATCGGTAGAATTTGAAGTAAAACCTTACCAAGTGAGTCAAGTCTTATTTGGTAAATACAAAGTTAAAGTGTATAACTATATAAGACTTCTCTTTTTTTTTTTTTTTTTTTTTTTTTTTTTTTCGATAACCTATATATATGTATATGACTTCCAAAATATGATAAAGCTTTCTACAAAGTATTAAAATACTATGGATAACAAATTTATTTTTTTAATTGTATGGTGTATTGTTGTTACTACATCGATTCCAAAATATGAAAACTTGCTGAATTTAATTTTACTAAATTTTATTGTGAAATACATTACAATATGTGAGATCTTGATTAAGAATACTTAAAATAAGAGGAGCTTTCAAAACTGGTACGAGTTAAGGAGAGTGGGCGCACGCCGAGAAGTTAGTTATTGCCGGACTTCTCCTAACCACCTTTACAGGCCCATGTTTAATTAACAACGTTCACATGTTTAATGGCATTCTTTCTATTCCACCACTTTTTATTTTATTATTTTATTTTTTTTTATTTATTTATTAGATAAAGCTCAAAGCACGATTTGTTAGTATTTCTTAAAACAAATATTTTTTTTTATTTAAGTGATAAAATTTGTTATTTTATTCGTTGTACGTAGTATATCATTTAATATTTTTATTTTAAAATAATCTGTGAATTTTCTCTTATTTGTTTTATATTTAGATAAAATTCATAATCTCAAAAGATAATATATTATATTTAATTAATTTCAACTTTAAAATCTCATTGGCCAATTTTGCTGATGTGGCATTTGAATTATCTAATTCTATAAGAATTTAATCTTTTATTTAATTGGCTATAACTAAAATTTATAATCAGGAAAAAACTCCCCTTTATATATGTATACTAGTTTTGTATGTTGGGATGCCCAGATTGTTGATAAAATTTTAGGATAAACTTTTGGCTTGAATGTTAAATATGGGCATATAATATCTTTTGATAATGTAAGATATTTAGACATATGATATATATAATAGTGTACTTTTTGTAGTTTTGTTTGTAAATAGATACCTATGTTATCGACTTGAAATAATTGTTATTGAATTTTTACTAAACCGAAAGTATTTTTACCAAACTGAAATTATTTTTACTGATTAAAACTTATTTTTACTGATTCTCTATTATTTTTGTAACTAAATTAAATATATTATAAATGGATCTTATTTTAAAGAATTTTTTGAAACGAATTTTATGATGGAAATAAAATCGAGTTATACAATATTTATTAATAGTTATGATTAATTTTGTATATATGAAATATTAGAATAGTGATAATAAAACCATATACAACAATTTTATCTTAAAAAAATCTATCCAAGAATCGCTTAATTAGCATCATATGTGTCGCAATAATACATATTTTTCGCCTACGTGGCATGATACTTGACGAAAAACTGGAATGTCAAGTGTCGCTGTCTCGTGCCCTGGCTGCGAGTCCGGTTTTATTTATTAGTGACTAGTTATGTGCCCGGGCGATGCCCAGATTGATGATAAAATTTTAGGATAAACTTTTAGCTTGAATGTGAAATATGGTCATTTAATCTGTATGATATTTAGACTTACAATATCATATAATAGTGTAATTTTTGTAGTTTTGTTTGTAAATAGATATCTATGTTATTTTTGACTTGAAATTATTTTTATTGAACTTAAAT